TTAAAGTGACATTAAACCCTCAGATTTTTTAACATAAACCAATACTGTAATGTGTGCCTTACTGTAATCCATGGTTGTTTCCCTTCTCTTTGCTGCTCTTCCTTTTTAAATCCTCATGTCTTCTCATGCTTGGGGAGTACTTCCCTTTTCAGCTCAGGGCCTCTTCCTGTAGTGCTGGCTCAGGTTATAAGCCTATAGAAACGTATACACAGACACCGTGTATCCATTCCTGAGACAAGGCAGTCTGCTGCAAAACAAAAGTTCTGCAGAGCATGAGAAGACATGAGGATTTAAAAGGAAGAGCAGCAAAGAGAAGGGAAACAACCATGGATTACAGTAAGGCACACATTACAGTATTGTTTTATGTTAAAAAATCTGAGGGTTTAATGTCACTTTAAGTGCTTCTTGGCCCCATAGACTTCAATAGAAATGCTCAAAAATGTGCGTTTGCTGCCTTTTGTGGGTGCGTTGCGTGGTACAGTGTGTAACATCAACATGTCACAATCTGCTCGCAAAAATGCTCAACTTGATTTTTGTGTAAAAAAACGTGGAGTAACGAGCAAAAATGCTGTCGCCTAGGTGAGAATTCAGCTGAAGCCTGGGTTCAAACCAGATGCAGTGTGTTCTGGCCAGAACGCACTGCATTGCAGCCCGCTCACTTTTTTTTGTGGGGCAGGAGGGGGCGTGGCGGGCCATTTAAGTGAATGGCACTGTAGCCACGCCCTCCGGCTGCACGGGAATGCAAGGCATGTCTATGGGGTCATTCACTTTAATGGCCCACCACGCCCCCTCCTGCCCCACAAGAAAGTGAGCTGGCCGCAATGCGATGCAGTGTGTTCTGGCCAGAATTGGGCCGAAACGCACTGCATTTGGTGTGAACCTAGCCTTTGGTGTGAACCTAGCCTAAGGGTCACAGCCCAATCAGTGAACATGCTTCCTTCCCATTTCCCAGGACTGAATGTGTGGTTATGTCTAGTAATGTGACACTGTGGCATCAAATATTGCCCCAATATCCCTAGGAAAAAAAAGAAAACTGGGACATGACAGATATTGCATGGGACTGTGATAGAGGGTTCAATTTGTAATCAACTCCTGAAAAAATAATGCGTTAGTATGACAGGTCTGCCTAGGAGTATAGGCACATGTATGCCTGACCGGCCTTATTTGGAGCACCTTCTGGTTTATGTCAGCAGTTGTGAAAATGGTAATTTTGCATTGTATTTTTTTTTTTTTTTGTGCATCAGTTTCTGCTTTTCATTCCTATTCCCTTTCTTGCCTGTAATCTGGTATTTTCGGGACACCATATTTCCTATAGTTTGAAAGTACAATAGTGTCTTCCACACCCCAATTTGGAGCATGTGCAGGAAGGTTGAACTATGCTGTATTGCTGGGATTGTGTTGTGTAGATCACTCCTAGAATGTATAGGGTTTTATGGACCTGGGAACTCAAGGAAATGAGTCAATTATAACATTTAACCCACCAATGTCCACCCATATATGTGACTAATCCATTTTAGTACTACGTCATTGCTACATTGTTGCTTGTATAATTTGTTAAAGCCCCAGCTGTCTGATTTATTTTCTGTTGAGTTGCTGGCTGTGGAGTAGTCGGTTGCGATAGTTTTCAAGTAGTTGTTGTGATTTTGATTTATTAACTGATGCTCTGAATAAAGCTAGCCATACACGGCTACATTTTCTTTTCTCGTCAGCCCGTGGGCAGAATGAAAGTCAGTAGAGCCCACAACCACGCTGGATAGAGGAAGCTCTGCGGCCAGCTGTTGTATTCAGACAGTCTATCACACTGGAAGCTGCCGAATACCTGCATTTCATAAGATGCAGTCACTGTTTGGCTGAGAGCTTTCTACCTGAATCGGTCTATAAGGTATATCGGGTGGTATAGACATTACTTGAATTTCTGACGATTCTGCAGGAATCGGCCTAAATTCATGCCAATTATGGGCAGCTTAACACAAGTAGCTACTGAAACTGGTGATTCTTTAGCTAGGTCCAAAAATGTTACAAAAAGTACATCAATCATTTATTTAGTTACACATTTCTGGAATCGCTGCAGCACAGGCCTTTTGTTATTACATTTAAATTTTTCCATGCAACAAAACGCTAAGTAACTTGCTTACAAAATCTTTTGTGACATGGCCCATGATTATATGAAAAAGAAATGGCTGCTAGTGTTTAGTAATAACAATAAGAACTGTGTAAATAGGATTTTATGTGACTGGCGCCGCACAGACGTTTGTGTATGTAATCTGTTACCGTATGTTGTGTACTATAACGCTGATTTGAGCTCCATAAACTGTTACATATATATATATA